TGGGCTTTCAGAAAATGAAAAGGAATCATTTGATAACAATCTATGATAATTTAATGTATATCGTAAATACGACTCCGTAAGTATTCGTTTTTAAAGAAAGCAATTCCCAGTGGCGTGGACACAGATTTTAACATAATATAATTCCAACCACACAAATCCGCAATGCAAGAATATATGAATGATTTAGTAGAAACAAAACCTGTAGATATTAGAACTCAAATCCTCCAATACTACATACTTTTATAGATTTTGAACAACGAAGTACAAAATGAGAATTACATTATATTGCTAAAAACAAGATGAGCCACTTTCTTCCTCTTCTTCAAAAGCAGTATTATTTCCTATGGATGTAAACCAAACTTTATATTCTTTTAACACTTTTTCAAGATAATCTTAGTTTGTGGTCAATCAATGAAAATGGTGGTTTCAGAGTCGTTATTTTTCCTATTGGTAGTGTTGCCATCTTTTCGTGGACTATCGAATAGATTATTATCTGAAAGCTGGGAAGAATTTTTTCAGACATCAACTGATTCCACGCCATTATTCACAAAAAACAAAAACCTGAAGATAATTTGTTTTTCGAGTGTTAATTGAGGTTAATAAGAGTCTTTTGTCAGCTAGAAAGTGATTAGGTTCCTTCTAATTCAGATATTTCTGCCTGTAGAGGTGAAAATTCATCACAAAGTTGGTATTTTTCTTCAAAATCTAATATTGAAAATGTTATCATTTCAAATGGAAAAACTGAAAATTATAGTGTGATCATTTTTAAAATGGGGAGCGAATAGAAAAGTCACAGTTTTTTCCATCTCGAAAAGTGTGTTGGAAATATTTTGTTGATGACAAAAGTTTGTAATGGCTTGGTTGCTGGGCATTATTCGGATGTTGTTCTATAACTTCCTATGCTATTTGAATCAAGTATTTTCTATATCTTGGCGAATCTTTGAGCAATCGCTGTAGTTTTTTTAGTGAAATAAGATCATTTTCAAAGTGTGCTTTTCAGTTTCATTTCATTTCTGTTTGTTATTAATCATTTTTTTTCTAGAGCCGTCGTTACCTCATGTTTGCGTCGCAACAATTAATCAATAGAAAATCTAGTCTTGTATCTGTCATCGAATCAATAACAAACTCACTTTTGAAGTTCTTGTGCATCCCTGCACTAGAATGAATTATAAGATTCTCGATTTATCGTTTACATCAATTTCCAAGAAATCGCCCGCCTAAGGTGAATACTAATACGCCTCTGAAGGAGCCATCGGCTTATCTTGGTTAGGTCGGAACTTCCTTTAAACATTCACAAAGAAAAGTCATTTCATTCCGAAAGCTCAGACACAACAGACTGTATTGTGTGATTCACATGTCAACATGTATTAAATGTAAATATCGTTCATAAACACTCTAAGTCGAGGAGTGATTCGAATTATCAAACAATAAATTTAGTGTTGGTTGTTCGGTAGCAGTGCTGTTTCGTATCTCATCTTCAGCCATGTGTGACACTACAGATTTCGATTCGGATGGGGATACTGTGTGTGTAGTTAATATACGAAAAAGTGAGTGTATCTAACTATTTATTCTAATTATTATGGGAATTTATTACTCTACGCGAGAAAACAGATAGATGGTAATAATGATGGAGCGGCTAAGATGGTCAACAAAACAAGAAATTGTGCCTGAGATAATCGAAAATCGAAAATATTCACAATGCAAGCACTGTACTTTCAACTTGAAACTAGATTCTTTCAATTTTCTGAAATATTTACACGGATATAAATGATATTGATTGATATTTTTAATATTTTTCATATTTGGGAATTTATATTTAAAAAACAGGTTTCTCTAACTTCTGAGTATCTTTTAATGATACGGAATGTGTTAGTAGTTCAGGTAAAAATTTGAAACTAATCACCAATAGAAAAAAAATTCTGAAGTTTATATTCAGACTCGCTGGAAACATATGAAAAAAATAGTACCACAATATTTTCATTTTGTAACCACAGCTTGGTGCAGTTTTTTTTAATATCGAGACTAATAGTGCTCATCCAAAATGTTTTCCGTTAATATGCACTTTTTCTGAGCCACCGACCACATTAAATTTCATTCCCTTTCAATTGCATTTTTCAATTCTTGATGAGAATTCTCCATATATTTATTGAGCAACATTTCATTTTGTGATTGCCAAATGAACAATTTACAAAACTGTACAATAGCTTCCTCAGGAATAGCATACTAAAAATAATATTGTGTAGTTAAACTCGGTTTGGATATATCATTACCTACGTCTGAAAAATATTACATGACTAGTTGTTGCCCACAGCTTCGCCCGCGCATTTTAAAGAAATAGTTACAATATTTTTTAATAATCCAAAAGTTCAGGTTTCCACCATGAAAACTAGTGGAATTCAATACAATCTTTGAACCCGTATTTTTCCCCATTAGGGTGAAAAATCCTGATTCCCTTTCTTGATAACCATATAAAGAACCTACCTGCATATTTCAAAATTCTAGTTTCGGTAGCTTCTGCTGTACGTTAATATAAGAGCTAACAACAGCTAGTAAATTATATTTTTCCTTAAAAAATAGAGTAACTAAAAAAATATGCTAACTGCACTAAGTAATAAATAGCTGCAACTTGGTTGGTAAAATGCGATTTGAATATAGTATAAAAATTTTCGCTCATTTGTTAAGCAAACTTTCTAAAATTATGAAATTACAAACATTTTAACCGATTAAATTTAATGCATTCAACATATAACACCTGAATAATAACTATCTTATAAGTTTGTATATTTTCATTTTTCACCCTATACAATAAAAACTAGCATAACTTACGAAGATACGAAGATAACTCTTGAATTATCTTTCATGAAAAAAGTCTCTTTCGAAATGAAAGGAAAAACGGGAACCTCTTGATTAGAATAAATTCAAAACGAGTACTACTCTCAAACACTAGAACTGTAACACTCTTCCTGACTCGCTTTTCATTGAACAAGTTGGCGTCTTCAGGAGATAAAGAAGGTAGTCTACTTCACCTCCTGAAGGCGCCAACTTGGTTGGTAAAACTCTTGTCGAGAAAAGTGTTGCAGTTCTGATGTCTGGGATCAGTATTTGTTTTGAACGAAAGTATGTTTCCATTTGGAAGTTCATGATTTCATATTCCAAATGTGTCCTGCTCTTTATGGATGCTAAACTATAACTCAATCTTATCAGGTTTCCGAGTAACTGATAAGAGTAGCCAGCTATAGAAAGTTTATAGGAATTTTAATGGATCTAAAAATACAATGAGTAATATAAATATGATAACCGCAACTTTGATGCTTGACGACAGAGATTTATGGATTTAAGGAGCTACAATAAAAATAATTAATTGTAATGAATCTGCTTTGAATAACAAACAACAATATTGTCGTTAGCAACTGTAAACAACTTCATAATGAAATGAATGAGCAAGTTCAGCATATTTATTCAATAATCACGAAATTAGAAATGGATTTTTCGAAATATGTAAGATTGAATACATTAGATTGATTTCCAAATAAAACATTTTTTTGATAATGACTGATCGCTCAGTCTTCTGATTCAGATATCACTTGATCCATATTTCACTTCCCGAAAGATTCATGAACTTTCATGGTAAATTGTCTATAATTTTGATACTTTCAATTTCCATTTATGTTACTTATCTTCAATCTATTACCTAAACTATTGTATAAATTACAACATGACTTTTTATTTGTTTATTCTAAGTTGAATGCTATAGAATAAAGAATTATTTAAACTTGCATCAGACCAAATTACCAACAAATACACAGATAATGTTTATACTTCCGTTCTGTTTCCGCTTCGTTTGTTACCTATCTCTCTCTTAATGGAAAATCCATTCACTTCTTTAGGAAGAGCGAAAGATTGCAATAAAAATTATGAAAATTTAATTTCATCTAAGGAAACCAAATGGCAACAAATTACTATTTTAATTAATTTACGTCAACCCCAGAAACATAATGAAAAAGAGCAAGTTTGTTTAAAACTCATTTGTGATAGAATTGGCCGAATTTTCTTTAATGAGTCAGTTGAATTTTATTTCATAATGTTTGAAAAATTCCAATTAGTTTTCACCCCAACTCAGGGAAAATGAAATTATCAGTCATCACGTAGTTAGAAAGTACGATCTAAATTGTTATTACATGAAACAATAAAGCAGAAGTTCGTCAGTATGAAAACGCGATACATGCGTTGCCATTGTTAGCGGTTTTGTGAACTATCTAGTAAAAATCTCACATTGAAATGTTACTTGAATATTCAAAACTCAAATGACTTCAGTCTATATTGATAAATAACTATTTCATTTCGAGCTTTTCTGAGATAAATTATGCTCAACTTCCAATTTTTTAGATTTGGGCAAAAATATCGTGTCCATAATAAACAGAGTTGTCAATTTTCTTGAACAAAAATCAAGACAAGAGAGAGGATAATCTAGCATTAAACAATTGACAAGGAAGTGAAGAAACGAACACATCCACATGAAGAACAGGCATTAACAAAAAGTGGAATTGTCTCATTTTATGCGGAACTTCTAGCAACCTCAATAGTAAACTAAAATCGGACCTTTCTCATTTGTGACTGCCATATTTCCGACGAAATTAGAGAACTCCCCAAGAAAATGTCAGGTGTTAAACTGCAGTTAGTCGTAATATGTCCCAGTTTTCTTGAATTTGTTGCGGAACATCCCGGGGAGTGTGCGGCCATGGGAAAACTTTTATTGGCAGACAGAACTTTAGCTCTCCTATTAGGGGTTACTGACAACTTGTCAACACGAAAACCAGCATATCTTCATAAAAAATTGGCAAGCTTCTCAAGACAACGAAATTACCATAAAAACTTATTGATTATGCCTGTGCATTCTAGTTCTATCTACACTTGCAGTTTTTTTTTAAATGCCGCCAAGCACCATCACCAATTTCAGTGAAATCATAAACATCTTTTGAATTCAGCAACTTTTTTTTCAGGAGTCACAAAAGGAATAAACATGGACGATATTCTCATCCTATCCAGGAAATCCAGTGAAGCAGCATCGCTCTGGGTCAACTATTTTACAAATTATTTTCAACAAATCAGCCAGCAGGCCACCAGAAAGCAATTCAAGTAAGTAGCGTTTCAGATATTCAGTTTAAACCCAGTCAGTAACAATCAGAAACCCTTTGTATTTGTTAAAAAGTGGTCGTAACGATTTTCGACTAATCAGAGACATCCACACGTTTCGTATCTTAACATTTGGTTGATTTAATTAATTTAATTCATTTAGTATCAGTATGCAGGTCGATTTCTCAAACTTCCTCATGAAGTAATGTTCCTCTCTCAATGGATGGCCTCAGGTTTGAATCACTTTGTATTATTAAGTTCAGATTTGTTTAACTATTAGCAAAATAACATTCAATGAGAAGAAATGAACAAATCGTCAGTGAGCTGCCTAGATACTGATTGAACAACCACTCAACCAAATGAGCGAGCCGAAAAGTTCACTAGGCGTGTGAGTTGACTGTAGTTCAATGAATAAACCTTCAAATTACATCACCGGGATGTGTGGATTATCGTCCAAAGGCTACTCAGATTACAAAAAATTGGAACTACAAGACTGATTCGGTTTGGACTTTTATCCCAATTTTCATACACCAGAAATTTTTGCGAAAACTCTCAGTTGACCCCACCGTCGAAATTTGTGCGAGGTAAAAGTTTACGAGGTCTTATACCTTTCAACGTGCAACTTGAATCACGGTTCAGTCGATACACACTGAACACAAAAATTGACATCTGGCAACTCAAGTAACACATTGGCTTCACCTCGTGCCAAGCGAGTTTCAGCCACGAAACTGAGATTTATATAGTCTTCGGAAGTGAACAGAGTGAAAGTCACGAGGCAATGGTGTGGTACAGTTTTCTGAACAGTTCGTCTGAAAATATCATAATAAAGTGTTTGAAAACAATCAAAATGAATATATACCCATGTATATTCCTGAAATTAAAAATTATACAATTCCACTTTCTGCTTCGAAAAATTTGTTGAGGGTTAAAATGGACACCAATATGTCTTGGCACAATCATGTCGCTGGAATTACAAAAGCCGCTTCTCAAAAGCTTGGAACACTGTTCCGAACTAGAAAACTGCACACACCTCAGTAACTTGCTTTATAAAGCTCAGATCAGACCTTCTTTGAAGTATTGTTCGCATGTATGTAGCTCCGCCCCTAAGCATACCCTGAAACTGCTGAATTCCATCCAGAGAAGAGCCATCCGCCTGATTGGAGACACGAACATCACTTGCAACCTTGATAGTCTGGAACATCGAAGAAAGGTTGGAGATTTGTCTCTCTTCTATAGACACTTTCACGGGAAGTGTTCAAGTGACTTGGCACATTTGATTCGACCAAGAGCGGTTCATATTATTTTGAAGTTCAACTCAGTACACCTCAAACTTCACTGCTTAAGAACTTTTTCATTTGAAGAACTGCGTTTTTGTGGAATGAACTTCCTGAGAACGTTTTTCCAAATGGATTTAATCTCCAGCGATTCAAATCCAATGTGAATCACTACTTTTGCACAGGCACCGCTCTTAGAGCACCTTAATGATTTTCCTGTACTGCTTGTGTTTTGTCGTTGAAAAAAAAATACGTAATTTTCGTATGCTGTTTTGAAGTTGGCACTTCAATTTTCAATGTTGTTTACATTTAGAAACAATTTCACTTAGATGAAATGAATTACCATAAAGTAAACAAGTCATCAATCACACATATTTTGAAACAAATTCATACTGGGTGAAGAATATTTTTTTACATTATGGTCCATAAATTGAAGATCTAACACCAGAACTGCATTACTCTTTTCGAAAAGCATTTCATGCATTTGGCAAGTTGAGAAGAGTATTGCAGTCCTTGTGTTTGGGAAATGTACTTGTTTTCGATTTATTCTTCGCCAGAGGTTCCAGTTTCTCCTTTTATTTGGTCAGATTGTATGAAAACTTGAGATGATTTTGAGATTTGATAATTATATACCATAAATAAATTAAATTGTTTTTGCGTCAAATACAACTTTTTGAACTATTTTTGTAATTTCAATTGAAAATAATGATTAGTTTCTATTTAGGTTGTTTACATGTACTATGAAGCCTCCTTTGATAGTCGCGTCAAACTTCAGTTTGAGTTGGTTGTTTGATCGACAAAAGAAGAAACATAGAAAACTAGATTTTATTATATAACCATTTAACACAAAATGAACTGAGAACCGAGTAATATTTATTCTACTTCAAATATTTTCATACACTGAATGTTACGGTTTTATTTGAATTTCATTTTTATTTTTCATTATAAATATTTTTCAATGTTGTTGCCTCTCATATGCACTTTTAGTTTTCTGGCAACCCTACCCTACCCTACCTTCATATCTCCCTCAAACCAGTCACCTGGATCCGCTACCGTTTCAGACAGGGTTTGAATTTGATCTTATGAACATCAATTCGCCGTTTTAACGTGAATTATATTTGCAGAATACAGTACAGAGGAGTAGAAGATACGTTAGACAAATCCGACGAAATTAGAGAACTCCCCAAGAAAATGTCAGGTGTTAAACTGCAGTTAGTCGTAATATGTCCCAGTTTTCTTGAATTTGTTGCGGAACACCCCGGGGAGTGTGCGGCCATGGGAAAACTTTTATTGGCAGACAGAACTTTGGCTCTCCTATTGGGGGTTACTGACAACGACTTGACCGAAGTTCATAAAAATGGTAAGGAATTATTACTTGTTATTACTTTTCACAAACTTTTTGAATATATTGTGTGGATAAATTGAATGTATCTGAGCTGAATGACTATCAGGGTGTTCTCAAGTCACTTGAACCTGGTAGCATCTATGTATATGTCATTCTGTGTTTTTTTTATACCGTAATTGTGTACTAGCAACAGGTGTGTGAGTCTTCGAAGAAAGATTGTCTAGTATTACCCACTTCAAGTAATATCATTCTTCATTTCGTTGAACTATTATGAATAAACCTTCAAATTACATCACCGGGATGTGTGGATTATCGTCCAAAGGCGACTCAGATTACAAAAAATTGGAACTACGAGACTGATTCGGTTTGGACTTTTATCCCAATTTTCATACACCAGAAATTTTTGCGAAAACTCTCACTTGACCCCACCGTCGAAATTTGTGCGAGGTAAAAGTTTACGAGGTCTTATACCTTTCAACGTGCAACTTGAATCACGGTTCAGTCGATACACACTTTTTTTTTATACCGTAATTGTGTACTAGCAACAGGTGTGTGAGTCTTCGAAGAAAGATTGTCTAGTATTACCCACTTCAAGTAATATCATTCTTCATTTCGTTGAACAATTTTATTTCCGGCTACTTGCCTATTATTTTTCTTGTTTTCCACCTGGGCATTCAAGTCTTCCACTTCCACTATTATCGGAATATCGTTTATGGGGATGATTTCATGCATCTTATCCTAATTGAAGTCTAACTTGTTTTCAATACTTGCAACTTCTCTAGCATTGTAAATTGGCTTGGCTAGTTTTGTTTCAAAATCAAATCAATTACCATAAAGTAAACATGTCATCAATCACACAAATTGTTTCAAAATGTTCAATTTCGGAAACGGATAAAATTCATCTGATTGTTAACTAAAAATGACGTTTGATAAAATCGTGGTTTTCAGAATTCCATTATGAAATTTGAAAAAAAGTCAAACAGGTGATTAAACAGAGAGGCTACAAAAGTCGGTACTATTGTTGAAAAAGTTTAGATGATTTTCGTCTATATTCCTAGGAAAACTGAATACCTCTCGTGATTCCGATATTTTTTTATTTGAATTTTTGAAGGTCATTTTAGTCTATTCAACAGATACTGGCATTTATTTACTCACGAATCGTCCGCCTGTAGTGGAATTCACGTGATCTTCCACAATCTTTTTTCAAAACTTACCTAGTTTATTGAATTTTATTCCCGCCGGATTTAAGCATAAGCGTAAACAGATAATTACTTACCGAGTTTTTTGTATTTCCAGTGTTGCCGACATACTTTCAATGGCAAAGGCAAAGCGTTGGTCAGGATCAGGACGAAAACTTCACCAAAGAGTTTCTAGGACAGGCTATGGCGATACTATCGAGAGTTTGGAAGCAGCAGAGTTCTGTTATTGCTCAGGAAAAGTCATGTTTTTCCGTTACCCCAAAAAAAATACGACAGGTAAATGACAATTTTTTATTACCACAATTGATCAGTTCACAAGGGTTGAATTACTTTTTACCCTCAACCAACATTCTGGCAGTGAGCCAGTTATAAAATGAAAACAAATGTTGGGTTGAATTCAACTCATAAGTGTAACATTACGTTGGTCAATGATCTACCAAATACTTTGAAAAACTCAAAGAGAATCTCTGAATAGAATTTCTCTAAAGATATTAGTTGATCTATTGCAAACACTTTTCCCTCACCAGAACAAAAATGCTCACTTGTTTCGCTATTAGCAATATCAGATGACTGAATCTATTTCCTACATGCTATGTTAATGACACTTATCCAATGCCCTTCGTGGTATTAGCCAGGGGATTAGACACAGGTGTCAGTCCATTAACCAACAGTGTAGGGAGTTGAAAGTGGCTTGATCGAAGTGTTCCTTTAGATGATTTGCTATGTTAATGTTTTCCTATGCATCTACATGAATAATTGCCGTGCATAATGAGGGTCTATTATTTAATTCCTAGTATTTTGTTATTATCCTATTGTTATTTACTGCTTGACTGATACCTAAGCTTTACCTTTACAGGTACATATTGAAGACGTCTTCGTAAGGGGATAAGTTATTGTTCTTCTTCACTTAGGCTTGTCCTTCAAGGACCTTTGAGTCCAGCAATGCATTTGTGGTTCAGCCTAACACCACTGATGAGTACTGCGGCGGGTCGACAAAGAGATGTTTGGTATTGAATCATAAAAGCATTCTGTTTGGGATCTGATTTTCAACCTTAGGCGTTGCAGTGGAAGCTGTACTAAAAGACAGAGAATGAGTCTCGTCTGTGATTGATGTCAAAGCTTGGCTTTGCAACTGACCGCCTTGGGGAGCCTCGTTTATCTTTAGTATCCGAGGATTGAGTTTGCTGTCGATCTCATAGTTGGCGTCTTCGTAAGGGGAGGTATTATCGGCCTCCTTCACTTTGAAACAATTGAAAAAACAACATTTTTGAGCTATTTATTATTTCTGTCTTTGGGTCATATCATATCATGATGTCAACATCACAGTAACGACAAATACAATGAAACTTTCGATTGCTTACGTATGAATTTTTATGCCGAAAATCGAGAAAATTGTATGATCCATGTAGTAATAACCCGAGTACCCCCTCATTACGAAAATGGTTTGTCAGTAGTTCTGATTGAGTATAGATTGAGAGTTGAGACCTGTTTGTTGTATTATCATTGCTTATTATTATCGGTAGAGTTGTTATTTTGATCATTTCATCAACCTTTCAGGGTCAAAACAGCGTATTTGTTATCCTCACACATCCCCTCCAAAAAGAAGACATCGTCAAAATTTCAGTGGAAAAAAACGGTGAATTGTATGAAGTCAAGTCAGTGAAGAAACGAAATCCATACATTCTAAAATTTACAATGCCTGAAAATTTAACGGAAGTAACGGCCATCGTGAATATACTAGTGGAGAAAAATGGCAGCATAATAGGAAGTCGGCCGATCAAGTGTGAAAGTAAATTAAGAGAGCTTGAGCAGATTTTACGGTCCACTGCAAATCCCGTGGAGTTTATGTGTCAGGTAGGGACTTTGATCATTCACTTTTTCCAATATCCATCTCCTCCCAGTGAAATGTTCTATCAGGTGATAACTTTAATAATACAAAACGAAGCTCTGAGACAAAATTAGATTTTGATTCAACTAAATTTTTCACCGATAAAACTATTATGTACGATGTGGTATGAAAATACTTTATAAACACTTTGTGATGAACTTTTAACTATTATCTATCTAGATTTAACAAATATTCAGAGTTGCAGTTTGATTATCAAATAGTTCATATAACAATTGGTATTTGTCGGGTGGGTAATGTCTTTGATCTTTTGTATTCTTTTTTGTTTTACTATCAATAAAAATCTAAAATATTTATTCGGAGAAAGCAGTTTTGGAGAAATATAAAACGTAATCAATCATCAATTCTACAATACATGTCCTCACACATTCGAGCAATCGTTTCTATTTTTTTTTACAATTTTCAGGCGTTAGGTTTTAGTCCTGCAGAACGAGAACTTCTAGACAACTGGTTGGTTCATAGATTGCAGAATAATATACCGCCGCATTTCAATTTGATATCCAGGTCTGAAAGCATTGAATCGGCAGATGTTCCTGGACGAAAACACAGTGAGTTTTCCTTAGTTAAAAAACAATCTTGATGCCCCTATCTTCAGATATTTTTCAATCAAAATCGACATTCAAGTATGATATTCCACATTAACATAAGAATAAACCATGAATTGTTTTGAAATTACTTGCAAATTATCTGGGGTTTATTCATTCATTTTCATTCATTTTTTATAAAACCACTGATTTATTGTTCACCAAATTTTTCAAAATAATATTATATTATATTCGGGTTAGAAGAGAAGAGAATTTCATATAAAGATATAGAGATATATGATATATGAATCTTTTTCAGGATTTTCACCGCAAACCTAGTTATTCTAAATGCTGGACAGATGCTGTTTGAACCTACTTTTTAAAACAGTTTCTGACATGTTAAAACAATTGTTTTTCCATTTATGTAGATAATTTATTGTGGGGGAGATATTATAGGAAAAAGATCGTTTGAATATTTTCTTTTCGTGTACATGGATGTTAGTAGGGAGAACTCCTATATATGATAATTTTAAAAAATATGCATGTTGCATAAAAACATCTACGAATAAACATATTCAACCACTTCAAATCTGCTAATTTGTATAAAATTCTAGACCTTCTCCTGATACCAAATATTAACCTGATGCAAGAATTTTGAACTTTTTGTATGCGAAACCTGTTGTTGTCTATCTGTTTAATATCTGTTTTTCTGTAAACCAGCTGTCGCACCCTTACGAACGACTACTCTCAAAATTCGAAACCTCTGCGAGCTAGGGACTAACGAGGTCTCACCATTTAACGTGTGATTACCAAACATGAATGATAAACAACGTCACAGTGGTTGAAATGAGATAAAAATGATGAATCACATAGCATCAGATTTTACTAGATACTTAAAAAAACTAAGTTTGCAAATTTCGTTTTAAATTTTTTTGGCGTTACTGGTTTTTTATCCAACGTTTCGTCTCTTATAAACCACCATAAATTTTTCATGGACTGGAAAAAATAATCGCTCGGTATAAGTTAGCGGCTTTTTCGACTTCACTGATGTTTCACCATGAACGTTCAATAAGTAAATTTCAAATAAGCTACAAAATGGACAACTTTTCTTTAATTCAATCAATTTTGTATGTCTTATGGTTTCTGATTTTCCTATGCCGACCCTTCCTTATTTTGGACTAAAAAAACTTTCGAGAGTCAAACCACAGTTTTCTCAATATGTACTTCTCATCTCACTCAATTTGTCTCAATTCTGATTTCAGTATTAACTATAATTCTGAATACTCGTAATGAACATTTACTAATAGTAGTTACCTCTGTTACAGCTCACGAAGAATTTCCGACCCTTCTTCATTTCGCGGCTAAATTCGGATTACACCAACTCGCAAGGTTATTACTTGATACTCCTGGTGGTGATCAAGCTTGTGAAATAAAAAATCTTTATGATATGACACCGTTAGAACTGGCAGAATCAAACGGATTTTCGAATCTAGCACATATGTTCCGAGGATATATTGTAAGTGAACAGTATATCACAAAATTGTCAAAGCTCATCGATTTATTTTTAGGACCTTAACGAATTCACCAATATCTATACCAAGCTGGAAGAAATTACTCGCAGAACACTCGGTAGGTACCTTCATTTTATGAGCACTTTGCTTTGAAATTGTTGAAAATTTGATATGTTTTTATAAAACACTTCTTTATTTTTCGTCTAAAGACGATAGACTAAAGGTAAATATGTTGATTTTGAATAATTATGGTATTACAGATGATGGGTATGAGATACCAAGGAATATAAAAGAAGACATTTACAAAATTTGTCCCGCTCCTAGACCTGTTACAACTCCAACAAGTGAAAGCTCCAGCTTATCAGGATACATGCCCATGAAACCAGGTAATTTCTTCCAATTAATATATAATACTCTTGATCATGCCAGTCAATTTTCCCATATTCTTTTTTATGATCAAATAATCCTTTCTAATTGAATATGAAGGAAATATTCTATGACAGAAATAATTTACTATCTCTACAAAGCGAGTGTTATTTGCTTTTAAAATTCACTGGCATTATTACTCAGAAACTTGTTTACATTTGAATTATATCTAAAACGGTCTAGTCACACGGTCTAGAATGTCACAGAAAAAATAATTAGATACAATATATCCCGCTCTTCATGAATCCGCCCCCGCATCTCTAATGTTCAGAATGCATTTCCGAATATATTTGGGAGGTTGGTGTAGGTATATGCAAAATTCCTTCACATTGACCAAAACTTATTATTCTGGTAGGAATGCTGTTTTACATTGGAAGTTAATATAAATGAAAATAAAACATAATAATTTTGGAAGAGTCCGAAAACTAATGGAAAAAAGTTGAGAATCGCTTTTTTACAATTATTAACCTCTAAACCGGCTATTTTCTCAATAAAACTCATGCTAATTTTTTTTTGAAATCGCCACTTTTTACCAATGGCATGAATAAAAATCAAATCACATGTACAATTTTTATTTTTCAGTGGTGTACATGATATCAAGAGTCCAAAAACTTTTTCATAATTTGAATAAATAGTGTGAAGTTTTTAGAATCTTCCAAAATTATTTCATTCATAATAGTTTTTGGGAATACTGAATCCGTATATCAAAACAAATTTCATTTTTATCTCCTAATATACTTTCGTGAATAATTGACCTTATTACCCTCCGTTAAATAGCTACATCAGTATCCGAAATACATTAGGATTTGCATTCTGAACAACAGAGATATGGGTATAAATTCATGAAAAGCGGGACACACTGTATATTGGTCATAATTCTCAAATATCTTTTGTTTTCAGTACCCGTCCTAAGGCAAGAGTTGCCTAAAGCTACTGATGACTGCCACGTAGACCTTCCAACGATTCAGGAACAGGTATACCAGAGGCTTGTATCAAAAAATAGGCAAAAAGTCGATGATTTAGAAGGAGAAGACAAAGTTCAAAAAGAATTAGTCGAAATAATTAACGATTTCAAAAATCACATACACTCAATCGATCAAGCTGAAGAATTGGTGAGGAAGTGGCAATCTCGAAACGATGTACAAATGTCGTTTAAAGAGAAACAAGAACAGTTGATGGAAATGAGAATGAGATACGATCAACTACAATCCATGACTAGGATGAAACATCCCTCATTCTTCGACAAAATGAAGAGAGTGTTCTCCAAAACTAAACACGAAAAACCCAAGGTAGAAAATATAACAACCACCTCCATTTCACAATCAGTTCCCTCTCTAACTATAGTCCATGTGCAAAGACCGATTAGCAGTTTGAGTACCTCTAGCTCTGGATCATCGGGGAGATCTAGCAGGATGAGCGAATCTAGTTTTGGAGATAGCGGAACTCATTCTGATAATGAAGGAAGAAAGGTAAAAATGTTTTTTAGACCTGAAATAATAAATAGTTTCTTATTTTCTGAATGCCTAATATCAGTATTATCATTTGTTATAAAATAGCTAAACTAAAAATTGTTATGTGCGATTGATTACTTGTTTATTTTGTGATAATTCATGATCACTTTAATGAAACACTTTTGTTTAAGTACGACTAGTTGATTTTATACTTAATAATTGGTCAAATCCGAAACCGGTCATATAAATAAAATCAACAAGTGGTAATTAGACAAAAGGGTTTCATTCATTTCATTGAAGTGAAAATTATTAGAGGATCTGAAGAAATGACTATGTTGGTCTCTATTGATTTTGAAGCTTAAGAGGATTTCAGTATTTTTTCACCAAGTGAATAAAAATACAAATTTCAAATGTGGAAATGAAGTATTAAACAGTTTTATATGGGATTATATCATCTTTATGTCAGTTTTTTGTAGTCAAGCCTAAAAATGCCTTTCATTATTTATTTAGACTTTGATAGTTTTAATAGCAGTTTTGTATTAGATCACCAAGCCAAAATAAGGTATTAAATTTCCGATATCAAATAAAAAAACAAATTCGAATACTCCATTCATTTCTAAAGAAATCCGTGATTCAAAAATTATATTCCAACGATATATTCTACAAATGGAGTAGCCGAAATTAATTCATTTCTGATTGATATAATAATCCAAACTTCAATATCTAATTTTGGTTTGGTGACTACAACAAAAACAGTTCTGGAACCATTGAAGATAAAAATAAAATAATCAAATTATTTCCAAGCTTGACTACAAGGAACCAGGTTCATGAATAGAATTTGGAACCGCTGGCGTAAAATGAATATGTTGAAAACATTTCTTTCTCACCAGAACAAAAATTTTGTTTCTCGACACTCGTTTCTCTAACAAAGTTACCATTATCATCAAAGTGTTTTCATAAGATACAAAGAACCAGCCCCGGCCGGGCAACAACTGAAAATGCCGTCACCTTCCACTCATATTTATTTTTACCATCATATACTACCTATCATCTTTATAATTTTAGCTATGAGATGTCCACTAATTGATTGATATTTGGACATAGGCCCACTTTTATCAGATCTGATAGATCTGATGAAAGTGGAGCTTGCTGTTTAAAAACGTAAAGTTCCTGGCAGAGCTCAACGGTGCTTAAATCTCGCTCGTATTTTCGAGCCAGATCTGCTCCGTACTTTTGCAGTTCTTTAATTGGCATTTTCTAAATATTAGTACCATTAAGAAAATCAAAATTCAAATTCAGCATGATAGCACACTCAAACCTCTTTTTAATTTCTGATATGATTCTATCAAATACCATCATTATTTCTTTAGAAAATAGTTAAACAGGTTGGAGTGTTTGTAACTCATCTTCACACATCTCATAGAAATGGTATTTACGTTTCAAATTTTTTGTTTTGCAAAATAAGCTCAACACCAGTTTTTTCAGTAACTTCTCCAGCCTTTTTTATCCCATATTTCATTGGATGTTGTGTCATTTTTGCAAAGTTTCGAACAGACCATCCATGAGTGGAACGGAACGGGCAAGGATAATATCTTCATTTTGAATTTCTATATTCATTCGATTGATTTCATGGAGAATTATCGCCCAAATAGTTGAATTAAGAACAAATTTAAAATTCTTCAAAACCTCGTCCTTAGCTTCTGGAGCATGAGAAGTTTGCTTAGCTTCTTCTAAGGCTTCCGCTAGTTCTGGCAAATTATTCAATAGGGCATTCACAACAATATGTTCTGCCGACCATCTTGTCTGACTATTTCCTTTTGAATTTCTTTACACACTTTTTCATAATGTCTCGCCTAGTAGTAGAACCAACAAAAAAACCATATACTTTCTGAATTAGTCCAATGGAATGGAATTATCAGGCAGAATGAACACCTACAAGATTTAAGGAGTGAGCCAAGCACAGAAAGAACTCGGCCAGCTTATTCATTTCTGCAATCCTGGCTGTATACCTTTATAGATGCCGGCCATATTGGACCCATTATCATGTTTATAAACAAAATACTGTCGTGAAGAGATATCGACGAGAGAGTTTTCAAATATAGCTTCATTCCTTTCGCAAGCACGGTAACCAAACGCGTGCTGCCGCGATTTTTGCGGGCGAGAGGGCGCGTGTTTTGAACTATGCTTACGCGCCTCGCGAATAGTAATGTTCGTGTCTAGTGTAGGTCAAAGTTAAGTAAATGATGAGTTGTCCATTCGTCTGTGAACTGTGAGTTTGCCCGCCCTCTGAACTAGCCACCCGGGGCATAGGCCCCGGTGTGTTGAAATTTCACATGTATATTGAAATGACATTAGAGTAATTATTGAAAAGACAATTGAATTCAATCAAAGGAAACAAAATCCGTGCTGGAAGGTCGTGGTCAAATGGAACCTGAAGTACCAAACGTTTCATCTGCTACTGCGACAGACATCATCAGTAGTATGTGCATTGACTGAGGACGAAGGTTATATCTCGAAGTCTCAGCAACGTTTGATAATAATTCCCGTTCTCTTTAATATGTGTATCACTGATATGGTTCATGCACGCCCAAATGCTAATAAAATAAATTATATATACTGATAATACAAGTATTCTTGTTTCGGACATAAGTCTTTCTAAAGTATTAGCAATGAGTTAATATCAATTATTTCGAAACTTTTTCATGAAATTTCTTATAAAAAACAAACACAAATGCAAGAGCTTACTCTTGAGAAATGTTGAGCAGATTGATGTCACACGATTCTAAAGAGTTACAAACCTTGAAACTAACTTTCAGTACAAACAACGTTGAGTTATGGTTTAATATTTTGGAGTAGCTCAAGTCATATTAACCAGGTGTTGAAAATACAAAAAAATATGGAGCGGAGCATGTCAGGTTATGCTATTATAGGTCATTGTTTTCACACTGGTATACTCACAGTATACCTAAACAAATATTGAGAATCAAGAAAATTCATTATTCAAAAGTAGCTCTCAATTTGAATACCAGAAAAAATGAAAACTTATATCAGCCATACTCAAGATTAGCTTCTGGGCAAAAGTCTCATGTGTACAAAAACAATAAATGTTACAATCAATTTCTCACAATAATTTTGTAGAAATATAAATGTTTTTGAAAATGCCTTGTACAAACATTTACAGGAAAAAGTATTTAAGTACATGCAGAAGTTCTAGAAAATCGTGTTTAAAATATTTTTTTAATGTATCAAATCGATTTTAGATAATTGACAAGATATCCTGTTTGTATACATGTGCAATTGGCAGGTTATATATCTATGTCAACTAGTTATGCAATTTCACACACCAGTCTTTGTGCATGTCAACAATTTATGATTGTTTTTTTACCAATTTCTCAAGTATTTTGGTTAATGTAGTGATCAGGGATATTGATCGAAAGTTGGCTCACTAGCCTTCTTGTAAGACTACCTTTATGAATTTCAATCACAATGGTCATTTCAAACAATTCTGGGAATTTTTCTTGAGTAAATGCAATGAACCTGTAGTGCACAATCAAAAATTTTCACAAAAATAAATCACCTAACCCAGAATCGTTTTAATTTTTTATGTATTTGATAACCTATACCTATAGACGATAGCCTTAAGAAGCCCTTATCTGTAGGAACAAGAAACTCTGGTTCATTTTGATAATCGTAATTTGAGATTTCTGTTTGCTGTCTACTGGGATCCAAGTGGAATAGAAAAAGCATGCGTCAAACTGTTAAACCTATGAGTAATATTAAAGTCGCAAGAAGAGAAGAAGGTAAAGGTAACAAAAATAAGTAATGGAATTGGCCGATACTTGATGAAAATCCATATCGTATTTAAGTAATAGGTACTTATTTCACTGAATATCTTACAAACCCACAACACGTCTTTCGCTTTAAAATAGCTTCCTCAGACGTGTTTATAAAGTAGGAACACGCCTGAGAAGCGAAAGATGTGTTACTGTTTCATTAACTGTTCAGTTAAAATCCCTCAATGAAGAGTTACTGGAGAAAGTAACAAATAATTGGCTACAAATTCTTAGGAGATAACGAGTGGATGGGTGGGGTTCGTAATGGTTGAATTTGTACCACTATAGNCTGATTGAGTATAGATTGAGAGTTGAGACCTGTTTGTTGTATTATCATTGCTTATTATTATCGGTAGAGTTGTTATTATGATCATTTCATCAACCTTTCAGGGTCAAAACAGCGTATTTGTTATCCTCACACATCCCCTCCAAAAAGAAGACATCGTCAAAATTTCAGTGGAAAAAAACGGTGAATTGTATGAAGTCAAGTCAGTGAAGAAACGAAATCCATACATTCTAAAATTTACAATGCCTGAAAATTTAACGGAAGTAACGGCCATCGTGAATATACTAGTGGAGAAAAATGGCAGCATAATAGGAAGTCGGCCGATCAAGTGTGAAAGTAAATTAAGAGAGCTTGAGCAGATTTTACGGTCCACTGCAAATCCCGTGGAGTTTATGTGTCAGGTAGGGACTTTGATCATTCACTTTTTCCAATATCCATCTCCTCCCAGTGAAATTTTCTATCAGGTGATAACTTCAATAATACAAAACGAAGCTCTGAGACAAAATTAGATTTTGATTCAACTAAATTTTTCACCGATAAAACTATTATGTACGATGTGGTATGAAAATACTTTATAAACACTTTGTGATGAACTTTTAACTATTATCTATCTAGATTTAACAAATATTCAGAGTTGCAGTTTGATTATCAAATAGTTCATATAACAATTGGTATTTGTCGGGTGGGTAATGTCTTTGATCTTTTGTATTCTTTTTTGTTTTACTATCAAGAAAAATCTAAAATATTTATTCGGAGAAAGCAGTTTTGGAGAAATATAAAACGTAATCAATCATCAATTCTACAATACATGTCCTCACACATTCGAGCAATCGTTTCTATTTTTTTTTACAATTTTCAGGCGTTAGGTTTTAGTCCTGCAGAACGAGAACTTCTAGACAACTGGTTGGTTCATAGATTGCAGAATAATATACCACCGCATTTCAATTTGATATCCAGGTCTGAAAGCATTGAATCGGCAGATGTTCCAGGACGAAAACACAGTGAGTTTTCCTTAGTTAAAAAAAAAACAATCTTGATGCCCCTATCTTCAGATTTTTTTCAATCAAAATCGACATTCAAGTATGATATTCCACATTAACATAAGAATAAACCATGATTTGTTTTGAAATTACTTGCAAATTATCTGGGGTTTATTGTTATGAATATAAGGGTTGACGTCACAGTTTCTAATATATGACGTTTTATTTTCAATTGCATTTCATTTTTCATATTCCTCACAATTCATTTTTTATAAAACCACTGATTTTCTTGTGATAGTAGTTGATGTAAGATAGTTGAATTAATAAACAGTTTTGGTTTGGTTCATTCTACTCATTCTTCCACAGTTTATTGGGTATTTCCAAAAAAAGGTTATTGAAGTTCAAATTTTATTCATTAGAATGAACACAACAGTCGGAAGTTTTGCCACATCTAAAATGAAAATGAAATTTGGCGTTCCATACAATGATTATTTTATAAATTACCCTTCCCTAGTTACATTTTTTAGGAATGTTTCAATCTGTGCATGTATATGTTGGTTCATTTTCTCATTTATATTATGAATTTCAACCTGATTCTATTTATTAGATAGATATTTTAGAATTGAGTTAGTTTTGGGACAGCTCTAATAATCAAGCATTTCTGATTCAGTTGACCGCGTTAGAAATTCTTATTAATAATTTTATTGTGGCTACAGTATTAGTCACCTCAAATAACTGTGGTATGAACAAATGCGTGTCAGCACCTGTGTAAAACAGGTGATTAGTACCAGGTAAAGACAGTAACCAAATCATATTACATTCAGAGACACCAACATTAATTATTGTAATTATTGTAATACATTGAATTGAAGTAGATTTCAACATATATATTATTTTACAGAGTCCAACCTACTATGAAGAGGGAAAACAAAAAATATTTTGGAAATAAAAAATTACAACTGGATTATTCGTTTCTGAAAGTGTACCAAACATTGATATTATTTGTAATAGCGGTAGATGGCATGAAAGTTAATCTTCAATACATACCTAGTATAAAATAAAGTCGCTTCCCGCTGTCTGTTCTATGTCTTAGATCTTAAAAACTACGCAACGTATTTTGATGCGGTTTTTTTTTAAATAGATAGAGTGACTCAAGAGGAAGGTTTATATGTA